AAAAAWWAWTTWWWAAAAAAAAWTAAWTTTAAAAGMCATTGATATACGCTCTAATTGCATTGTTTTTTAGTGTCAACTTTGTTTCACGGGTGTAATATGACTGCACTCAAGTGATTGTATAGTGCTAAATGCTAATAGTGAACCTTTTAGATTGCAAACACATAGACCATGAAAAAATTTACTTATTAAATAATGCTAAATTGCACTGATGTATGCGAATTCTCTGTGCTTAAAATTGRCCCTGTTTCAGGACTTTCCGGACACCACATCCTTTCCTGGGCGGRTCGTGAWGGCCTTGAAAATGTGCAATCTACTGTCGTCAAAGCTTGGAAGCTTCAGAAGATATCCGTTGTAATATGGGATCTCATTTGTTATTTTAACAATCGGGTCTATTTTCTGGTTAAAATGTGATCTATGACTCGTGTGTTAAAATACAATAGCTTCCCCGCAAATGATTGTCCGCGACCTGCTTTAATTTGCCATAACCAACACGCATGAGTACATAAAGTAACGTAAAATGTTTCCGTAACTCCCCTTCATAGTTCACACTTCTTTGCAGATAACAATAGATTAGTCTACAGGAATTGACGTTTCCACTGCTTCCACAGGTAATACACTTCGCGCTAAAGATCTTCACACTCGTATTGACATTGGAAATACTAGAGATATGACCGTTTTTAATCTGAAAAAGAAAATCTAAACACTAGCGAAAACTATTTTATTACAGTAAAACACTTAATGTGTTGAACACGCATTATTTACTKCTAAATAGTGGCAACTAAACAATAGAAAACAACAGGATTAGCATAATTTTGCAGTGTTTAGTGGTATTTATGTTTCACACTTTAGAGTRAAGTCCTTTAACCCTTGAAAAGTGTGATAGTCAAATAGAGGTTGTTGAAACGCGGGGWGCGGATTCGGACAGTTTTTTGCGGATAAATTTTTTCCGACAGATTTTCAAWTCCAATTACAACTACTTGTCATCATTATGTCACGAATTGGACACAACCGTACTACATACTAATATTTAGTAAAGTCGAAATTATAGTTAGCCGCCAGCAATCAATTACGCTTTGGCCCCCTTCCCGACGTAAATTTATTCATATGATTATTCGYGAATAAAGAGTTGTCGCAAGCACATTGGAGGTTTCTCTGTATATTGGAAAAAAAAGATATTTTACGTCATAATCTGCTTTCATATATAATTATATGATAAACAGAATATTACCTGGTCGCTTGAAGATACGATTTTAATCTTCATTTGTCTCTTTAACTTTGTTATATTAAACTTTCCTATGGAATTTCTTTTTGAACGCCTTAACAAGGCAGGATATTCCATTACATTTGACTCCAAAGGCGCGTTGTGGACGTTCGCAAAAATTTATCCACATATCCGCAAAATCTGTCCGCTATACGCACCACGCGTTTTTACGACGGTGTCAAAGCGACGCAAAAGAAAACAATCTAATAAGCAATGTGCAGCGACGCCATTTTGTGCAGCAAAGCATAATGGTAGCTGTAATTCTCGCACTTTTCAAATCCACTAAAATATCTCCTTAAAAGCCGTTTTTATATTTTGTTTTGAGAAACGGCATAAAATGCTTTTAGTGGACATAGAAAAGTACGAGGATTACGTACAACTGTACCACCATCCTGCACATTGCCTATTAGAGCGTAATAAGGTGTACTATAGTGTAATGTCTACGTCACGATCGAGATTTTTGATTTCACTCTAATTTTTTTTCGTGTTGTACCTTCTAACGTTTTTTTTATGGTTTAAGTTGATGTGACCCGTAATACAGCAATATTCAAAAAATTATGATCTTTTTTGGTCATATATCCCGTAATAAAGAACGTTATCTTGGACGGAAAAGCTACGGAAAACGGTTACACTCACTCGTGAGAGATCTAGCTTTTCAACACTCCAAGATAAATTCCGTATCTCCGCGCGCCCATGTAATATCCTCTATTTCAGCTATTTGCAGTTGCCTAGCACTAGTACTTTCTGAAAAAAATATTGGCGATGATATCCCATAGTTTCTGATATATTTTGTATATACTTGAAATATGAGTCTAAAAGATCATATTTTCTGCATATTGCTGTATACATACACAAATACTTATAAACAATTAATTTAGAGACAGGAGATGAAAATAAAATGGTGGGAACTAGCGGTAAACTAGTGTGAGCTGCGTCGGTGTTTCTAAAGAAACAGTTGTGTAAAGAAGATAAGTTTAACACCGTTAAAAAGTAAGGGAAATAACTTACTGACGTTTCGGATGTTAATCCTTCGTCAGAGTAAAGAGGAACTCCGACGAAGGATTAACATCCGAAACGTCAGTAAGTTATTTCCCTTACTTTTTTACGGTGTTAAACTTATCTTCTTTACACAACTGATGAAAATATAAGTCACTTTTTGTACTCAAACAAATGTCCGTTTACTGTTAGTTGGTTTGATGACTTCACTCTAAAAATCATAACCATTATTTCGTTTCAGAATGCAAAAAACACTTATTGCAGTGCTGGCTATCTTGTTCATTGGTACGGCCATTGCAACCGGTAAGTGATGGTGTTTCGTTGTAGTATGTTCGTTTAATCTGACTCAATATTACATGTCACGTGATACAAATACAGTTACGCAACAATGGGACATTTTTAAAAGATTCATTTTCGGTATAAGTAAGGCTCGTTTTGCTTTTATTTCAGATGAATCAGATGAAAAAGAAGAATCAGATGAAAAAGAAAAATGTTTTTCGTTAAAGAAGCAAGGATTGTGTGCACACAACGAAGTGAAAATAACTTGCCCGGATGTCTGCGCAAAGAGCGACAGCCATGATAAAAGAGCTTTAAAACGCCAGACGTATCCTGTCCCATATCCCTCTCCGTATCCTTACCCGTATCCTTATCCGTACCCTTCCCCGTAACCTTCCACGTATCCGTATCCATATCCATATCTCAGCCAATAAATGTAATTCATTGAAAGGAAGATAATTGACACCATAAGGAAAATCGGATGTTACCATGGTTACCAGCATTAAAGAAAGAACGTTGTCACTTGTTGTTGTGATCATGACCTTTTGTCCTTTTCATATATGGTCTTTTCACTTTATCCCTCTTCTTTCATTATATCGGCAATTCATTATTTTTTTAAAGTAAGCTGATGACAAAACACATCCTAATAGCTGAAGGCTGATCAGTTTATTATGAACAAGGCTTGGAATTGGAAATTCAAACAATGTTATCAGGCGGTGTTATACAGTCAACTATGCCCTGAGATCGCACTTATATGCCTTCCCCAGTACCCTTTTGGCCTTGTCGTGCTCACTCTAGATGGTGCGATTGGTGCTTTGTCTATTTGTTACAGTTTATTCCCCYWATATTTCTAGGCAGTCACGCCTTTTCAATTCGCACTGGTTGATCTCGAACTTTTTGACTCTTTGAGTGTTTGAGTGTAAACGATAAGGGTATACATTTCACCCGAAATTGTCTAAAACAGGCTCTACAATTTAGATAAAAGACCGATATATTTTTTTTGTGTCTTAGACAGGGTAATATTTTCATACGAAATACCGTAGAAATTCTTGGTGTGCAACCCCCAAAGTGAAAATTTATTAGTCGTTATTTTCAAAAACCAAGTAGCGAGTCACAAAGAGCATAGTCAGATTATCTAGAATACGARCTTTAAGGCTKGCAGCTTACTCTCTGATGAAGATATCAGCGAATAAAGATTTGAAATATTTGGTTAATTTGTATGGGACGCCATCTTGGATGATAACTTTGATCATCCAAGATGGCGGCTGGTTTCAAATTGACTTCAAAAAGTCTGGTTTCCTTGATTTCCTTTGTAAATTTYGTTCAATTATGGCTTTATTTCAAAGAAATCACCTTAAGTAAGTTCTTAAGGAGTTGAAAGCATGATTTATCCAATTTCGAAGKTTTTGTTTACGACCTAAAAGTAGAATAAATTAAACTCCGCACAAACTAAAACTTTTGTGATTCGCCACCAAAGCGTTGAATTCGTCTGAAAATTTCCATACACACTATCTAGAAATATATTTAAGATATACTGTAAGAACAGCTCTTTAGCAAAAATATTTTGGATTTTYCGAGATTTTTTGCGTGAATATGGCATCACATGCACACGAAGAATAGTAGAAATACCGTTTCACTGTCCCAGGATTAACGTGTTATCAAAAATTTCTTATTGTCTTCGATGGATGTCAGTATAATTGCACTATTGATGGTTGTGGCGCAGATAGCTATTCCATATTTTTTTCGATTTGTCTTGAACAGGGTATGGGTTTTTACTTTCTAGTGTTTTAAACAGGGTCAGGGATTTAGACAGCTGGCGGCACGTATCTATCCAAAACGGGGTCGAGTAACTCCCCCCCCCCTCGAAACACACTCAAAAATGTCCAGAAGACATGAGCGTGCCGAGCGTGCGTTTATCAGAGTATAAACCACGGCTGAGCCTTATTTATTTGTTAAATAACTATAAGCTTCACAAATGGGCTACTGAACAATATGAATATTCAAAATCCAAGTTAGAAGAGATTAGAACTAGTTAACAGACGATACAAATACCAAGCATGAAAAGCTTTTGATTGCGAAGAATAAACTCCTTCAAGTCTTCAAAGGGTTGCCCAAAACGAATTAAGAGAAGAAGAATTAATCAAGAACAGAAAAAAAGGAAAAAAAAGCTGCACAAAGAAAAGAAAAGCGTTTGGAAGCCAGCATACAATATGTGAGGTCTAAACTGRTCAATTCAACTTCCAATCTAGAGCCAGATCAGTGCATTACCAAAGAGATGTTTAAAATAGAAGAATTAGAAAAGCTGAAGAAAGACAGACACAAGGCTGCATTACCATTAACTTATCTCCTTAACAATGAAAATTGGCACACAAAATGCCAGAAAGTGTATCACTGTAAAACTAACAGARTGGGACCTAGAAAATGGACAAGATATACACCCTTTTAATAAGTCCCGAGGTATTACGTTCTCCGCACKTGACGTCAAATTTATTCTTTTGAATTCCTTTTGTATTGTAAAAATTTCAAAAGAATAAATTTGACGTCAAGTGCGGAGAACACAATACCTCGGGACTTATTAAAAGGGTGTATACACGAAGCAGAAATAACAAGCAAAGAAGAAGTAGAGGATGATGATGTACAGGGTCACAAGAAGCAGTAGAGTGAAAGAGCAAAAAAAATAAAAAGAACTTGAAGACAATTTTTCCTAAAAATATTTTTTTTCATTGATTTATTGAAACTGTTGTTGTTGTTGCTCATATTTATAATTATTCAATGCAAAAAAAAAATTATAAAAAAATTATATGATTTTATTTATTATTATTATTTTTTTTGGGGGGGGGGAGGGGTCATAACCTTTATATTTCAATGTGGGAGGAGGGTAAGAAGTTCAGTTTGCTTGCAATTTATGACGGCTCTTGCCGCCCCCCTACCATAAATAATGAATGGTCCCTAATGTTAAATACCCTTTTAGAGTGCAAAAACTAGAGTGATTTCACTTAAACCGTGCAACTACTGTACAAAATTTAAGTAGCACTAATCATATAATTTGTACTAAAAGTGGACCTGAAGGAATCGGTATTGAATGCTTSATTKTCATTTCATGTSATTTTAAGCCTATCCATGATCTTCATATATGTAATGAAAAAATGAAAGAGTTTCTTTCAATCTTAAAAGAAAATACTCACAAATGCTTTTCTGAATTTTGGTCAAATAAGGTAAATAATAGCTCAACAGGTCATGGGAAATTATTTTTCTTCAAACAAGTCAAACATGATGTAAGTTTTGAGAATTATTTACAAAAGGTTACAAATGTTAACCATAGGAAAGCAGTAACAAAATTAAGGATTTCTGCTCACAAACTACCTGTTGAGTCAGGTAGATATAATGGAATTCCTTACCAACAGCGTTTTTGTCATCTTTGTGACTTAAACGCGGTTGGTAACGAATTTCATTACTTAATGTCATGCAATAATTAACAACGAAATGGTTATTATAAGAAAAGCTTTCTTGGAAAGACTTTATAACATAAATAACTGTTTCAAAACCTTCACAGGTTTTGATTGCTTATTCTTATACATATTGTCAATGAAAGATGACTCTATAGTAAAAATAACTGCTAAGTATTGTTTTAATGTTCTAAATCTGTACAATAACTTAGTCAGCTAGTATACCTTGTTTGTTAAAGTTAAATTTTATGTTCTAATGTACCTTTTTGGTATTTATGGAATAAAGAATTATTATTTGTATATCAATTTGCGTCCTGTGACTTTATTTTAATTCACTAGAAATGCTTCTTATGTCTTTATTTTGATTCTCTAGAAATGCAACTTGTGTCTATACTTTACAACCATGTTATCGCTGAAAGTGCGAACTCACGAAGTTCACTCTTTATCTTACTATCTAAAGAATGATAAAAAAAATTATCAAAATTATCATTCTTGACATTCATCACTCAACCATGATGTTTATGTTTWGGATGATTTTAAAAGTCGCCGCATACACGATTTACTAAATACAACTAGATAGCACTATTTAGTTTGTACAGTTACACGTTTTAAGTGCGATCACTCTAAGGCAGTGCTCTATATGCGAATTTCTGTGATTAAAATTGACAGTATTTCCGGACAGCACGTCCTTTCCTGGGCGGGTCGTGRGGGCCTTCAAAATGTGCAATATACGGTCGTCAAGATTGAGAAAAGCTTGGAAGCTTCAGAAKGTATCCGTACAGAGTAATATGGGATCTCATTTGTTATTCTAATAATCGAGTCTATTTTCTGGTAAAAATGTGATCTATGACTCGTGTGTGGAAATACACTAGCTTCCCCGCAAAAGCTTGTGCGCGACCTGCTTTAACCTGCTTTAATCTGCCAACACGCATGAGTACTTTATTGAATGTAAAACCAACACGCATGAGTACTTTATTGAATGTAAAACCTTTCCGTAACTCCCCTTACTTCATAGTTACGTTCACACTTCTTTGCAGATACAATAAATCAGTCTACAGTTGACGTTACTACAGGTAAATATATAATAACTACAGTAATAGAATGCTTTCAGTAAAAGGGTTAAACATTATTTACTGAATTGTGCAAAATGTGCTAGTTGAACAAAAGAAAACAAAAGAATAAGATAGTATTACTAGTCTTTCATTGCTCATACCAAAAGCACTCCCATTTTTAATCTGAAAAAAAGATTTCTTTATAGTGCTTTTGTGATAGTAAAATATAGACACATTAAAAAAAAAAACAACAAAAAACAATGCGACACATGCATGCACAAAAAAAAAAAAAACAAAAAAAAACAATGCCAGCACACTCCGCACCCACTATTCGCAGTCACTTTTTGTACTCAAACAAGTGTCCATTTTGTATTTC